ATATTCACAAACAACCTGATTGTTTCATAGCAAAACCAAAAGCATCTACAGGTAAATAGACTTAAGTAAATTTATCCAGGTTTCAGAATACACTGTAAAAAAAAAAAAAAGGAAAGAAAAAAACTCAGTAGTATTTTTATAAGTATCAACAAATCGAAGATGCTATTTTAGAAAATTGCTTAATTTAGAATAGCACCATGAAATACCATACACATCGACATCAAACAACATATCTAACGTTAATATCAAATTTAGAGAAAATATGCAGAATACACAGACAGCTACATATTCAATGCAAAACAGATAAATTAAAGGCAATATTAATAGAGGAAGAGAAAGACTCAATATTGTAAAATTTTCAATACTCTGCAAGTTGATCTATGGATTCAAAGCAATGCTATTCAAAATCCTGGTGTGTGTGTATGTGTGTGTGTGTGTGTGTGTGTATGTGTGTGTATGGTGTGTGTCTGTGTGTGTGTTTAAACAAAGTGGTCCTAAAGTTTTTATGGAAATGTAAATGGCCAAAATTAACCAAGATAATTTTGAAGAAGAACAAATTTAGAAGATTTATACTATTAAATAGCAGGACTTATTATAAAGCTACATGATTAATATGATATTGAAACAAGGAGAGGTAGACCAATGGAATGAAACAGAGAAGTCAGAACAGACCCACCCACATGTGGACAGTTTATTAATGACAGAGTTTACCATACGAGAAGTGGAGAAAAGATGGCCTTTGAAAAAAATGGTTGTGGTCAATTAAGTATCTAGATGGAGATAAAGTGAAACTTACCACTGCTTCACATTATATCAAGTCAAGGTGTATTGTATTTAATAGATCTAAAGGTGATACATGAAACAATAAGGCTTTTGAAGATTATAAGAGAATGTCTTCTTAATGTTGTGATGGGGAAAGATTTTTAAACAAGCCCCAAAAGCACTAGAGAAAGGAAAAGATAATACATTGAAGTATATTAAAATCATGAGATTTTGTTTATCCCAGTACATTAATAAAGGAGTGAAAAGGTAAACCGCAGACTGGGAGAAGATACTTGCCTCACATAAAACTGACAAAGTGCTAAAAAAAAAAGATAATCCCATAAAAAAGGACAAGAGACTCGTTTAGGCACTTTACAAAATAGGATATCCAAATGGCTAATAATCATATGTGTTCCAAAAAACATATATGAGAATATTCATAGAAGCACTGTTTGCAAAATCCGAAAGTTGGAATGAGGCCACATATTCATCGACAATAAAATGGATAAATGGTAGTATATTAATACAATGGAATATTATACAACAGGGGAAATGGATGAACTACAGCTACATGTAATAACAGATGAATCTTCAACATAATGCTAAGCAAAAAAAGCCAAATGCAAAAGACTACATATTGTATTATTCCGTTTATGTAAAGTTCAAATTCAGACACATCTAATCTATGATATTAGAAGTCAAGATAGTCATTGCCTTTGGCAAAGGAGGAAGAGAAGTAGTGATTGGTTGGAGAGAACATAAACCGGTTTCTGGAGTTCTAGTTAATGTTCTGTTTCTTGACTTCAGCAGTGGTTGCATGAGTGTGTTCTCTTTTGTGAACACATAAGATTCATGCATTTTTCTTTCTTTATTATTATATTTGAGTAAAATGATTTGTGTATACACAGGGAGGTAGTTGTGCCCTTGTCATTCAAGATGTGCAAACATATGTTGGTAAGAACTTGGTGGGAACATTGTATAAGGAAATCAGATATCAAAACAATTGCCACTTAATGACCTTTCTTGTTCCTTCCAACTCTAAAATTCTGTGAATTAACTTTGGGATCAAAAAAACCTGACTAAAAAACTGGACAGCTGTCTAAACAACAAGACCTCTTCCTAAGAAGATGCTTCTTTAAAAAATTATCTGAGCAATTGAGAGAGAGGCAAAAATGAATCATCTAAATCTAGAAAAGTCTGTCTTGCTGAAGCCTTAGATCTCTGTGTTCATTCCTTTGTGTGTATCCATTATCCATTGGGCACTAAGTTTTTATACCCCAGTAATTACTATTATGATTGATTTACAATAATGGCAAGTTTGCATTTAAAAAATATAAAAGGACTGTGCTCTTTAATTTCTGTGTCCTTGGTGCATCTTTTGTAAGACCTGCATTTATGCATATTAACCTTCCCAGCTTTAATTTGTCTTCTTAACTTTATTTCCTTATCTATTTATTTTGTTGTCCTATATATTTTTGTAAGCTCCCTCAAAGCCTTTTTGGAAGGAGTTAGTGTAAAAATGTATAAATATAGTAAATTCTCATTATTTGTGGTAGTTATGTTCTATAAAGTTGCCTCCAACATTGGTTTACAAGGGTCGAACCATTGTTCCTAGGGACATACAGGGTTGGGTTCTTGCAAGCCTCTGGTCACAAAATTTTCATCAGTTGATCAATATGTAACTTTGTTTTATGTATGTTTATGTTTAAAGACACCTTATTTAATATATATTATTGATTCATTGACATTGAACTCATGGCCAACAGCACTGTGACTCACGTGTGAAGCAAGCTTCTCTAATGTATTTTCTCCATAGGGTACATTGCAGCCTTCTTGTACTTAGGATCACTAGATAGCACTTCAGCACTAAGCTTGGAAGCTGTTTCAATAGAGAGCATAAAATGTGAAAAACGTGTCACTAAATAGACTGTGAAAGGGACATTATTTACAGTATGAGAGTGGAAATAAAGTAGAGTGTCATCTTGTTCAACATCTTCTGGGATAATGTGTTGAGTGACTCAAATATTTTGCCACTCACAGCACGTCTGTGAATGACTGCAAAAGTGCCGGAAGTATTGATATTTGATTTACAAGTCAATTTTAGCAAGTAGGTGCATTCACAAATATGGAAACCACAAATTATGAGGATTTATCGAATATACATACAAATTATAAATGGTGTGCTTGCAAATATTTATAATGAGGTATTTAAAATACAAAGCCTTGATAGTTAAATATAGCTAATTGAGTTTCTGTTGGAGAAAACCATTCTATATTACTTCATTTATGGAGTGTTGGAAATAATAAAGTGATAGCATTATAAGCCATTGTAGTTTTTCTTCCTTAAATAAAGGAAGAATGAATAGACTTTGAAAATGAATAGACTTTGAAAATTTGTGCATTATGAAACTTGTTATAAATGATTTTGACACTAAGAGTTTTAGAATTTTGAATTATTTAAAAATATTGGATAAGTTCTAAGTGCTATTTTTTAATCTAAGATTCTTCTTAAATAATGGTATCATATCTCTAAAGAAGAAAATCAATGATTCTAATATTCGTCAAAAGGTAAAACATTCTTTTTCTAAACTTTCACAGTGATTGTCGTGAAGAAAAAATAAGGAAGCTCACACCTGGTGAAATGGATGAAATTCGAGAAATACTATCAAGAAATCTCTATCAGATCCGTCAGCGAGTGAGAATAATTTATTTAGCATAATATTTACTTACCTTTGGCTAAAAATATGCCTTCTGGTTTTGTGCTGTCATTAGATGCACCGCCATTATGCTGTCCTCAGCAGGTGCGCACTGGGTGTCTCCTCTGCTTCCTCAGCCCTCTCGGGGGTTCCATGCTCCTCCCGGAAACTATGGCTGAAGCCTCGGGGACCCTTGGAGTTCTGCTGCTGTGAGCTTGGCAATAAAGAAGTATACACATTGACTAATTGTGAAGAAATGAACCGACTGCTATTTTTTTTAAAGGAAATAGCTTTAAAGCTTAGACTTTTTAAGAGGATCTGATCCTCCTTGTTATTTACAAAGTGCTATAGTTTCTTCTTTTAATGTATCTTCTGAGGCATTTCTTTCACTGTATTTCCATCGTTAACACCCTACTCTGATAACTCGCTAATAATATAGCTAATGAATAGAGAGTGTGTTCACTTTGCCAAGCCCTATTTCAGCGCATTGCTTATATTAACTCATTTAATCCTCCCACAGTGGGAGGTGCTGCTATTGTCTCCATCTCACAGACAAAGAGATTGAGGCAGAGAAGTGAAGCATGACACGGGCCACAGCTGGTCAGGAGTCCTCCTCCCTCACGTGGGGGCCATTTCTTCAACTTCCTACCTGGTCTCCCACAGGGCACCCCCATCCCGTCCACATTACTCTTACCTCTCCCTTTTCCCTAAAGCGCCTTTTAATAACAGCATCCTCTGATTTAAAATGAAACAAAACAGGAGCTGTGGCTTCCAGGTTAAACTATTTTTTGAGAATTTGGGGTCTCTGTTTCCAAGTTCTGTTATAGCCCAACTGGTTCCCCTGCCCACTGCCCAGTGAAGGCCAATACACAGACAGCAGTGGATGCAATGGAGAAAGAGTTTTATTTTGCAAGGTGCCAGGCAAGGAGATGGGAGTAATTTTTAAAATCCTTCTCCTTGAAAATTTGGGGGCTAAGGTTCTTAAAGGTAATTTGGCAAACAAAGGCCTAGGGAATTGGGTCTGCTGATCGGCAGGGTATGAACTCATAGGGTTGGAGCACAGAAATTATCTTCTGAGCTGGGAGATTTCCTGGGTAGGGAGTCTCAGGGATGTTGGAGCCATTCCCATGCCTATCCATGGGTCCAGTTGGCATCAGTAGGTACCCCTGGATTGCAGAGTCTGAGAAAACCTCAAAGACCAGGCTTAGGATTTGCAGCAGCTATGTTACCTAAGGAAGTAGTGGGGGCATCACAAATCTTGCTCCTGTCAGCGAGAATCATGCCATTAAGCAGTAACCAGTTGCAGCAGCAAGGAAGTTAGGGAACAAAAATGGCTGGTCAGCTTCTGGCTGTATCTACACTTTCATAAAAATCAGACTTTGATTACTCTTTATACCTTATGGCTCCATATTATTTTAGTATGGACAGTTTCAGTTCCACTTTATTGAGCCATATTTCCAGATCTCCCTCACCCACCCACCCCAGACACCCAGGAAGTGAGATTTCTGTCTTCGTTCCTTGGCCCATGTGGCTTTCTGTCTCTCCTCCTGGAGCACCTCACGGCTTTCTGTCAGGTGGTCCACAGCCTCCAATTTTTAAGGTTCCTCCAACAACCACCACATTATTCTCGGCCCTGTCCTTAAGTGGAACGGCACTTACACTGCGCCGCATGATTTAGCATTTCGTTTCAGGATATTGTCTTATTTTGTTAGCCTCAGGTGCCCAACTAAATAGTCAACTCCTCAAGGCAGGAATTGAGCCTTGTTGTATGTTGCTTTTGCATCTCTCTGCAGAGCCTAATATAGTTCTAGACATAGGATATTCCCAAGAGGTACATGTTTATCAGAAAATGAACTTTATTAACTATGATTTATTTTAGGAAACACATTTCTATATAGCTTATAAAACTAAAAATGGATGTCATGTGCAGCCCTAGTTTAAAAATTTTACCCCAAATACTGGGACGTGACGATTGCCGCTGGTGAGGAGACGGCATCAGCTCTGTCAGTGTGACGACCCAGTTGAAAAAAGGAAAAGTTCTGAAGTTAATCAGAAGGACATGGCACCACCAAGTGGCTCAAAGTGATTTGTTTCTGTGTTGGTAATTTCTATTCAATAAGGAACGTATGAAGATAACTTGTATTCTTTTTCCAGCTATTAATAATGGCTAAATACATACAAGGTACTTCAAGGTAGACAAAGACACTTGATGAATTCGATCATTTTTTTCATTTACGAAGATCACACTTTTCAATGAAAAAAAAACATATGCACTGACTTTTATTAAAGGATGAATTCTTTCAAAATCTGAAGTGTTATACTTTTAATTTTTTGCTCTGCACTGAAGTTGTAAGAGTCTAGCTGAAGTGCAAATCCAAAGAAACGTGGTAACGTTTTGGGATTTCTGGGGAAATGATCAGGTTTTTTGGTAAAATGTCACTTTCATGTTTTCATTTCAGACTTTGTCCTACAACAGACACAATTTGACAGCCGACACGAGCGAGAGACAAGCCAAGGAGATTCTGATCCGCCGGCGGCACAGTTTGCGAGAGAGCATCAGGAAAGACAACAGCTTGAATCGAGAGCACAGGGTACAGGAGTTTGTGCCTGGGGATGCAGAAGGCTGCCAGGGGTGGGGCAACAGCTGCTTGGTTGATCAGCAGATGGGCTCATCAGCTCTGTGGATGGAATAGCTGCCGAGGGTTGAGTCACAGGCATTCTGGGATGGAGTTCATTATAAAGTCTGTTCACACGTTTCTGGAACCTCTATTGCATTCCAGGCACTGTTCTAGGACTTGGAATACATCGGTGAACAGAACTGACAAAGATTCCTATTGCTTGTAGGATTCCTATTCTAGGGGAGGAGAAGGCTACCAGCAGTAGACAGAAAGAGTAAATTGTCTGTTATGTCAGGAGGCAGTAAGTGCTATGGAGAAAATTATAACAGAGCAGAAGAAGGAGATTTGGGAGTACAGGGAAGAGACAGTCAAGTTACAATTGTCAACAGAATGTCTGGGCCAGCCTTCATTTGGAAAGCAACATTCCAAGGGGAGGTTGCAGCCAGTGCCAAGGCAAGCTGCGTGTTCTCTGAGGATCTGCAAGAAGGCCAGAGTGGCTGGGGAAAGTGAGCATTAGTGCAGTTTGGTCAGCATTTCGGTTGGTCCAGGGCATTGTCACTAGACAAGGAAAGCCATCTTAAAATATTACTATTTATTGATTCCACATAGCAGCCACTGCATCTTATTTTTAATAGTATTCTGTATTGGGTAGTCAGAGATCAAAATGGTTCTGTGTGAACTAGGAAATTTTCCTATGTGTACAATGTAGTAGTATTAATTAAAAATTAATTTAAAACACTAGAGACTGTGGCATTTGCTATGTCAGTAAATTAGCTATAAGAATACTTCTTGTTCTATCGTTTTCCAGATTTATTAAAGTAAATAAAAATATGCTACATTTTTTACATATCTTCTTTTCCATACATATAGGTTCTAAGTCTTTCTACTTTTCGAAATAGATGTTTTGGTAGATTTTCTTTAAGAAGGCCCAGCGGTTGTCATATCTTGTTTCTAGTGGTCCCATTTATTTCTATTTTCCTTAGTACAGATCTTCACTACATTCCAGAAGGGATTTAGTTATTTCAAATATAATAGTTACAGCCCCTCACAAAGTAATTTTGGAATCACGAACTAAAAATTCTGATTTTTGACACCAAGTTTTGCTATAAGATTTTTAATCTCTAATATATAAGAACTGCCATTTGTGTAGTCTATATAAGGTTTTCTATTTCTTTTACAGGCTTCCACTTCAACCTCCCGATATTTATCCTTACCTAAAAATACAAAGCTTCCAGAAAAGCTACAAAAGAAAAAGAATATTTCAAATGCAGGTAATGAATATACCTGGAGCAGAAAACCTTTATTTACTAATGCTTATAAAATAGAGAAATTTCCCTATTATTTTTCTTCATTAAGAACAAGTTCAATAGTTTGAAAATCTCAAATAATAACCTTTCATTAACATTGCAACCTTTTTGAGTGGCGCTCTGATAAATAATCTAATCAATTATTTTCCATAATGATTCTATTTGATATAACAATAGTAAATATTCTCACCATGGGGTTAGTGTGCAGCTAAATAGGAAAGTTATAAGTCTGCAAATGTGTAAGTAATAAAATTTTTACAATAATTCTAATGTATTTTCATAAAAGCAGTGATACTTCTGGCTGTAATTATAAAGCTTTGTCATAAGGTCTAACATCTCTTTGTGTGATGGGAATCTTTATGTACACACCCAAGCCATTTTCTGTGAAGTCCAGAAGAACTATGTTAGGATTTTGTGTTTTTAAAATGTAGATGTACCAATAATTACCTTCCCTTCACTCTTTTTTTTTTTTTGCGTATTTACTTAACTGAGAAGAGGGAAGTCTAGTGGTGGCTGGTGGTGACGAAGGGCGATTTGGGAACAGGGCAGGGAAGACAAGGCAGCGCTGGGGCTTTAGAACACTGGCCTGTGGTACCACTGCCCATCCAGAATCCAGCAAACACATTCTCACTTCCCAAGAATCTCAACTTCTGGGCAAGCATGCTGTCAGCTTCCCTACCCACAGAACTCCAGCACCTGAATCTGGTTCTAATCCTGCCTCCTCCCTTTGTTTGCAAAGTGTTTTGGCCTTTTTGTGAAAATACAAAAATAAATAAATAAATAAATAAATAAGCAAAGCTGTATGAGATTTCAGGTCAAGGCAAGAATCTTGACTGTAGCAGATAATTACCAGACTGCTTACTGCGTGCCACACACTGAGCTGAGCCCTTTTGGGATCATTCCTGTGGGGCAGGTGAGCATAGCCGCTGCTGCCAGAGGGTCTCAGTTGAAACTCCAGCTCCCCACCACTTACTAATATCTCCTGAACCTACTTACCCTATCTGTAAAATGGGAAGATTAAATGGGCTAATGCATTTGAAAGGGCTTAGGATAGTGCCTGGCACACAGTGAGCTCTTCAAAGTTAGCGTGAATACTCACTTGTGGGCATGGATGCTCTCAGAGGTTATGCAAGATGCCCACAGTCGCTTAGCTGGCGTGAGAGTGAGCCCTCTCTGACCTTCCCTCTCCCCAGAGCCCCAGGACAGACGTGCGGTTGCTTGACCCACTAAGGTATTGAAGTCCCTTGGAATGCCTTTTCTCTAAAGTGCTTGTCCACCTTCTCCCTTTTGCTCTGTGGCAGATGGCAATAGCAGTGACTCAGACACAGATGCAGGGACCACCGTGCTCAATTTGCAGCCCCGAGCCAGGCGCTTTTTGCCAGAACAGTTCTCCAAGAAAGCCCCCCCGGCTTATAAAATGGAATGGAAGAACGAAGTAGATGTTGATTCCAGCCCAAGGCGGCCCAGTACCCCGCCAGCACCCCGCAGCAAAGAGGGGGGCACTCAGACGCCAGGCCTACTACGGCAGCCCCTTCTCTCCAAAGACCAGTTTGGCCCTGGGAGGGAAGACAGTTTGACTGAAGGCGTCCCACCCAAGCCACCACCGAGGCTGGTCCGGAGGGCATCGGAACCCGGAAACCACAAAGCCCGATTCAGGAGCGAGAAGCCTTGAAGGACACAGCCAAAGCAGACCTGAGTGACTGGCCCAGCTCGGCTGTGGTTTGTTACCCCGAAACCTGGCACAGCCATCCACTTAAAACTGTGCATCTAAATACTTTGCTCGGGAGGTAGAGTCATGCCACTGATGAATGGGATTAATGCTTATCTCAAGAAAAGGAAAATCAAAGAAAAAATGTCCCACAAAATGCCTTTTGTGACTTATGGCTAGAGGCTGTATTCTTTGCAGGCCTGAAGGAAAAATAGTGTGCCTTTATTGAACTTGAACGACAGAACTTGAAATTTTTAATGCACCCTTGTTGGTGAAAATTTTAATATATTACATATATGTCTCAAATGTTATTTATGGAAAAAATATGTATATCTGTAGTTAGTTTTTAAGTGAATGCCACTAAAAGTACGGAGGATGTCTGTACAGGGGTAGAGAATGGTTCCTGGAGGACAGGTCCCAAGCTCAGGGCAAGGGCCTTTCCCTGTGCTGAGCTGATGGACCAGGCCCTACACAGAGACACCTCCTGACTGGAACTGGGAGAGCAATCAGTGTGCCCCAGCAGACGCAGTGGCCTGGCTCCCAGAGCCCAGACGGGAGGTCCCGAGACACTTATGAAATAATGAGAATCAGCTGGTTTTTAATTTGTTCCTCTGTTGTGTGTTTGGGGGTGACTTGTAAGTTCCATCTCCCCTTCTTGTTTAAGCGGTGCAAAGAGGAACACTGCCTGGGAGAAACCAGCTTATAGTGTTTGACAGACCTGGTCACCTGTGAGGGCCCATGTGGTCAGTGGGGACTTGGGGCAGCGCCTGCTTACAGCTTGTGGGTGGGTTTTCTGTTGTGCAATACTCGGAGGAGGGTGCAGGTGATTCCTTTCTTGCCCGTCTGTGACCACCTGCTTCAGTAGAATTTTTCTGTAAAACATTCTTGAACTTCGAGCCTCCAGGTAAGAGGCTCCAAGTAGACAAAGATGAAAATTTCTATAAATGGTATTCCAATGTGTAACAAATTGGTGAGATTTCAGGTTTTGGATTTTATTCAGGAAGCACTTTGGAGACGGTGGGAGCCCTGTTTTCTTTGCACTAGTCTGTAATTTGTTACCTCTTCCCCTTAAGTAATGTAGTAACTCGAATTTTTTATATAAAATTGAATTCTACTCATTGGAGTACTTTTTAAGAGTATAGCAGAAAGAAAAGAAGTAGAACATAATCATTAAAGATTAATATTTGAATCTCTGTCTCTTAAACTGTAGATTTTATTGGCCTGTCTTTATAGATACTAAATGAAGCCACTCATGTAGTCCCTTGGTTTCACATTGGAGATACAGCAAAGGATACAAGTGCCCAGTGTTATTGGGAGAACATGAATAAATTAGGCAAAAAGGCACAATCCTCAACTGTGGTTCTCCACCCCCACCAACATGGAGTAGTAAACTTTCTACCCCTTTTTCTCATGTTCTGAAATTTTAGAATACTGCTAGATTGCTGGACATGAGACAGAGTGAAAAACAGACCTATACAAGGTCCATGTTCATAAGAGCAGAGTTTCTTAATCAGTGGGAAGTACTATAGGATGCAATTTGGAAGCTACAAGCTTAGGGCTCTGTGCCAAAATCTCAATTTTGAATTGAATGAAAATATTTATATAGATGAAAATATTTATATAAAAATATATTTCTTCTGAAGACAAAACTGTCACAGAATTGTATTATAAAAATATGATTCATTAAGAGATATGATGTATAATTTTGAGAACGCCAAGAGTCAATTTTTAGAATACTTATGGTTTGTGAAATCTGAAAAGGTGGAAATTGAAAATGACCTTAAAAAATAAATTTCCTGATTTTTCCAGGTTTCCTATATTAATAACTATTATAAGGAGTTTAACTTTCTGGAACTGAAGGAGAAAATGCGAAAATTTCTATGTCACTTCTTGTTAAGCAGGTAGACCAAATTTAGCTTTCAATCACTAAAAGTCACAAAAAGAATTTGGATGACAGTGTATAAATGTCTGAAAAGCAACGCCTAAGTCACCTGATCTTAATTATTGTCAGTTTAAATTTTTTCTTATTTGTTGAATGAAAAAGGCAATAAAAATAAATTTGACTTCATTTAGCTTTCCTCTATACTTTCTTCTTTTTGTAATTATTAAATTCTAGTTACCATAGAAAGAGTATGAAGGTGAAACCCTTTAAGTACCATAAAAATCTAAATTTCTGTAGCACAGAGAGCCACAGCCTTTGTAAATGACTCCCTTCCTTCAAACACCATTTGATCCAACCAGAGTTCCAACATGGCTGTAGAATTTCGATAGGTCTTCAGTGTTGGTTGTAACAAAATTAACTACCTATAAGTAAAAAGTTAGGGTTTATTGATTGCTTTATATATAATGCCAACTGTTGCAGACAGTTATGCCAGTAGAAATTGGCCTCAAAGTATAATACTTTCAAAAATATGTGTTTTGTGTGTATGCCCCCCAAGTGTCTGTGAGGAACTTGCAGCTTTTGCTAAGCTTTCTAGTGGGGGTGTAGGTTTTATGTGGGGAGTGGGGGTGTGATTTATATAAAAAGCCTAGAGAAAGAGTACAATGTCTCAGCACATTTTGAATTTGTTGCCCTGCCTGAATCATGTTTATGTTAAAACTGGCATTTCATAATCAACTATGAAAACTGTAATATTTTTGTTTGTTCAAAGTGCACATTGGACTTTATTCTTAAGAGTGATTAAAGCGATTACTTTGTCCAGAGGAAGTAGCTGTTGGCATTATCTGCTGAGGCCTGAACACCATGTGCTGATTTCTTCATCCACCTGAACAAGAAAGCTCGTGACTCAGAACAGACTATGATCTGGGGTTTTGTTTTTGTTTTATTCACTTTTAGAGCAAAGTGTGTAGCTCAGTGATACTTTATATCCCACTTTTTAGCCAGGCCCTTTCTTCAATCCCCTTCTAAGGGAAGCAGAAGACCCATTTGGGGAACAGTTATGTGGCACCAACCATGGCTCTTTGTCCCTGACAAATGACAATTTCCTTCTAAATTCCTTCGATGTCACGCACGCCACACCTAGCCGACTTCCTCAGACGGGGTCAGCCACCACAGGAATGTGCAGGTGAAACACATCCGCGGGAGTTTCCAAGGTCTTTAATGTTGTGCTGGCACATCGTTTTTTGATCCCTTTTGTTTTTTAATTTTCTGCAATGTTTCAGATAAAGTTCTGTTTTACTACCTCTAGGTGTAGCCGATGAATAGTGAGTCCAATCTCTTAACTGTACGGTCAGGGAATGAGTTTTTCTAGGTGTATAGTTAACCTATCTACTGTAAATGGATTATTATCACATTTTCAATCTACACAGCATATAGATTATTTTGAATGGTTCAGAATCTACTTCAAGACCTTTCAGAATGTCTCAGAGATTTTATGGGAATCTCTTCGCCTCCTACTGTAGGATGCAGAAATGTCCCAGTACACAGAACGCCAGAGAGCAGTGATGATTTTCCTGATTTTCACTTCTGTAACAAAATATCTTGAATTAAAAATACAAATGTTCTTCTCCTTTTTTATTTCATCGGCTCCTGTTGAATCATAAGCGTGATTGGTAACTAAATTTCTAATTTAAATGAGGCTATTTGCATCCAGTTAGGGTAACTATGCTTGCCAAGCAAATTTTGTGTTTATACACACCAACAAAGCAAATTTCTGTATGTTCACCAATAAAGCAAATTTTTTCTTGTTTTGTCTTACAAAAGTTTAAATATTAAATCACACGTACACAATCACTTATGGGGAAAATGGTATATCACATGAAAACAGAACAGTCTCAGAAATCCCAAATTTTATATTTATATATCAAAGTACTCATTTATACTAAATGTGGTTAGGACAGCTGGAATTCTTGAAAGGTAAAAATTTTAGAGTATTAAAAATTTGCATTCTATTAGTTTCAAATACATATATCTCAAATTGGGCAAACTCTAATACTAACAGAACTTGATTAGAGGAATAAACATTTTAATTGATTCTTAATTTTCTGTACGTAACCAGATCCTTATAAAGGGTTCAAAGATAATGCATGCTCTGAAATATTAAATACTGCCTTCCCAAGGAAACACAAACAAAAAAAGTTAATGCCAATCATTGTCTTTGTAAGGCTGGTGGTGGGCACCCCTCCCCTCCCTAAAGAAAAAAAGAGAAGCCCACAAACAACTGCCAGGCTCAGCTGAGTTAAAGAATAACCACACCTGGACGTTCACCCGGCTAAGAGAATTTTCCGTCCCTGGGGTCCACAAATACCACCGGCGCCTCCTAAAATCCACAGATACCACCGGCCCCTCCTACTTCTCGACACCCACCCTAAAACTGAAACAAAGAACTCCCCACTTTTCGCGCCAAAATTCTTCGCCCCAGAAAACCCCTATCCCCCAACTCTAAAACGTATATAAGCCTGCTCAAAACTCTCGGGCGGGGCGACTTCTCGGGCCCCACCTCTCGGGACCGTGAACCTTGCCCGGGAGCACTCTTTTTCCCCTTCCCCCAATAAAGCCACGTTGCTTCTTCTTCATTCTCTTCATCTTTTCTTTCTCCCCGCCACTAAAAAACTTTACAGTCTTACCAAATGATTTTTTTTTTTTTATTTCAGGGTATTATGAGGGTACAAACATTGTGGATATACTTTATGTCTTTGCCTCACCCAAGCGAGGGTTAAAGGCATGCCCTTCCCCCCTACAATGCTCCCCATGTCCTTTAGTTGAGGGTTTACCCCCCCAAATCCCCCTAATCTCTGGAGAGTATTACTGCCATGTGATCACCCTAGTGTTGATCGTTAGTACCAATTTGGTGGCGAGTACAAGTGGAGCCCATTCTTCCGTTCTTGTGGTGCCTCACTTTGGATAATGGGCCTAAGTTTAATCCAGGAAAGTATAAGAGGGTCTAGGTCATTGTTGTTTCTTATGATTAATATTCCATTGTATACATATACCATATCTTAATAATCCACTCATGGATTGACGGGCACTTGGGTTGTTGCCACATCCTTGCAATAGTGAATTGTACTGCCATAAACATTCGGGTGCAGATGTCTTTATCGTAGAATGTTTTGTGCTCTTTTGGGTAGATTTTTAAAGATTATGTAGAGCTATGTATCAACACATCAAATTTTAGACTTTCACCAATACATAGTTTGTACCCGATGAATAAACATTTACTGTATTTGCTACCATAATTGCTTCTTACTGGTTGGGCATCTAGTTTAAGTCTTTTCCTTTAGCTAGAAAGTTATTTTGAATGGCAGTTACAACTTGGCGTATGTCCAGTGTGTTATTGATTCAGAAGAGATGTCATGGCGAAGGTACTGTGCAGGTGACCCAAAGAAAATGCTCACCCTTGTCAGAGACTGGATTGTCGTGCCCAGACCTGTTCCTCAGCCACATGGAACAGACTTCTTAAGGCACATACCTAGTCGCGTGCATGCAGACCCACAAGGGCCACGCCCTGGAGTCAGCAACAGAGCACCTTTATTACATTAGGTTTATTTTGGATATTTCATGTGGTTTCAGTTTCATTAAACAAACTCAGGATACGTTTAGGTAAACTATCACATCAAAAGTAATTCTCGGTCTGGATAAGAGCCTGAGTGTCAACTATTCAAAATACAGATTCTTTGATAAGCCTGTAGAAAGGCTACTTCCTGTCCATGCTGTAAATTGCATTGCTAATAGGTATTTTAACTACTTTTTTTTCCTCTGCAGTGTATGTTTTGGAAAAAGGATTTTTATCTATCAAGATGTAGTATAGTTTAAATCAAGACTGGTCAAAATATAATTCTTTGTTCAAACAAGATCCTTATAGTTCATTGTTATGCTATGTAAATTGTAAGTAGTAATTAACACTCCTTCCTTAATGTTTATAATTATCTCCTCCCCTCAAGGAACAACAAAAGCTGTTTTAAAGTCTCTTTTCAAAATAAGAATCAGTACTATTTCTTGCAATGTACTGAATCCAGAAAACAGAAGTTTTGTTTTTATTGTTTTAATAGAGAGCAATTTATATAATGGTAAGTTTAGCTGATCTGTTTGGGGGGAAAAAGAGAACTAAAGTAAAAAATGTTTTAAAATGTTAGTATTTGTGCATCTCCTTAATTAGAAATAAGTCCTACTGTGATATTATCTTAAAATTACAGTTGACCCTTGAACAACACAGGGTTTGAATTCCACGGGTCCACTTACACTTCTCTGCCTCTGCCTCCCCTGAGACAGCAAGACCAACCCCTCCT